GATTGCTGGGCAGCTACCTTTGCTGCCTGCCATTGGTGATTCTTATTTCATGGGTGCATGTGCACCTCTAGGTCTGCACTGTAAGCTCCTGGCCCATGAGGACCATGGTTATACTTTCTTGCATCCTCACAGTGCTTGCACAGAGAGAAATTCAGTTGGTGCCTGTTCCTGGCACATGGTTGAACAAAGCAGCGATTCACCATTCACTGGCTCTGGGACCTTGGGAATGTCACTGAACCTCTCTGAGATTATTTCTTCATCCTTAAAGACAAACATTAAGATCATTTTACAGAGATATTCTGCAGATTTAAAAACCACCACCACCACCACCACCATCTATATATATTTGAGTGTTTACTGTAGGCCAGAAATATACTTAAACAGGAACTAAATCAATTCAAGTGTTGGTGAGCATGTGGAGAGAAGGGAAATCTTGTGCCCTGTTGGTGGGAATGTAAATTGGTGCAACCAGTATGGGAAACAGTGTGGAGTTTCCTCAAAAAATTTAAAATAGAGCTAATGTATGATCCAGCAATTTTACTTCTGAGTATTTATCTAAAGAAAATTAAAACTCTAATTTGAAAAGATGTATATACTCCCATGTTTATTGCAGGATTATTTATAATATCCAAGGTATGGAAACAACCTAAGTATTCATTGATGGATAAATGGTTAAAGAAATTGTGGTACATATACACAATGGAATATTACTCAGCTATAAAAAAGAATGAAATCTTGTCATTTGTACCAACATGGATGGTGAGGGTATTTTGTTAAGTGAAATAAGTCAAATATTGAGAGACAAATACTGTATGATCTCTCTTATGTATAGAATCTAAAAAAACAAAACAAAACCAAGTTTATAGATACAGCTTGGTGATTGCAAGAGGTGGGGGTGGGAGAGATGGATTGGGAGAAATGGGTGAACTTTTTTTTTAGTTTAAATGAATAATTATTTTAAAAATTTATTTATTTATTATAGTTGTTATTAATTTATAAACCTGAGTTGTCCAATACAGTAGCCACTAGCCACATGTGGTGATTTTAATTTAAATTATTTAAAATTAAATAAAATGAAAAATTCTGTTCCTCAGTCACACTAGCCACATTTCAGGTGCTCAGTGGCGACTATGGCCATATAGCTGGTAGCCGCATATTGGGCAGTGCGGATACAGAACACCTGCGTCATTGCAGAAAGTTTTATTGAACGGAACTGTTATAAACTGACTGTCATTTACCTGTGTGCCCCTCCTGGTGCTTATGCTTGTGTAGTATGTGTAGTATGAAGGACCAGATTCAAGGGGATACAGAGGTTGGGAGGTCCTGGAAGCTCTACCTTTCACTGAGCACACTCATGGTCAGGGGAAAGGGTCCTGAGTAGGAGAGAATGCCTATTTATATTCCCTGCTCCCAGCAGGCTTAGGCTTGTAAGGCACCAAATTAAGTGATGCTGAAAAGGGGGTTTGCACTAGCCAGTATTTTCTTGAAATTCTCAGTGGGACCTGCCCTCTGATCTCAAAGGACAGTGAAGCTGTAGGGGCCACAGCTGGAAGGGACCCTAGAAACCAAGGGCCTGTACTGTGATTCAGCATTGTCTTTTGGCCTTAAAAGAACATTTTAATTTTTTGGTGAGTGGCAGTGTCCCTCACCTCCATGTGACTGTGTGTGTTTAGAAGCTGGTTGAAGGCGACTTTGGGGTCTCTTTAGTTGAAATATGAGTACCAAGTAGATGCTGACTCATTTCCATGGATGATGGTTTTGTGAGTATATGGCCTATCGTCATCATGAATCTACATTATGACACATGCAGGGCTTGCCCTGAGCTACACAGAGCATACAGGGGACACACATGATTTGTCCTAATGGCTGATGTGCCAAGTATCTGGTGAGTCAGGAGTAGGCTGGCCTTCCTGGGCTTGTGTCACCAGAGAGGCCCACACAGAGCATTACCCAGACACTGTCCTGAAGGTGACCATCACCTTGTGCCAGAGGCACTGTACCGAGGACTGTCTTATGCCATAGGTGAGGGGCAGCAGAGCCCTGGCTCTGTTCCCTGGTGGGAGGGCTTGGCAGGGTGATGCTGATGCTTTCTGAGGGCTGCCAGTGGCAGACAAATGCAGATATGCACTCAGTATAAAGAAAGCGGTGGATCATGTCTTCAACACACACACACATGCACACACACACGCACATGCAAACACATGCACGCACACATACACATGCACACACACAGACACACAAACATGCACACACACAGATGCATGTTATGATGTTCTCTTGTCCTGAAATGCCCTCCTTTTTTACTCTAATCTATTCAAATGCAGTTTCAGGGCTAACCTTATGTATAAGTCAGAGTCTAGTCGTGGGAATAGTTTGAAGGCGGAAAATTTAATATAAAGGATCATTAACTAGTAAGAGGTAGTTTACTCCTAAAAGGAGTACAGAAATAGCAAACGCACAAAGCAGCTGCTCCCTCCAGGGCCGAGGGGTAGTGGACAAGAACAGAACTGAGGACTCAGCTGAGGGCTTCCCACCCGCAGGCTGAGATACAGGCCGCCCGGTGCCGAGGAGGTGTGGTGGAAGGCGTGGCCCAGGGCAGCCTGCCTGGTGGTGGAGAAATTGGTCGGGTGTGGGCTGTAGCCGGTGTGCAGGAGTGGCCTACGAGATAGAACACTCACTGGAGGGTGAGGGTCTGAGTCGGTCCATAGGAGGAGTGCGTCATGTGGTGGAGAAATCTAGTGAGGGTGGCTGTTCTGTGAGGGCCACTGAAGTGAGCACTGCCAAGCCACTGACTGCCAGCTGCTGTGCTGCAGACGGCATGTCAGGACCAGCAAGGGAGACTCCTTGCTCTGTTGTGGCTTCCCACTGTCCTTCCAGAACCTGTTGACAAAGCCTAATAGCCACCATCTGACAGAGAAGGCACAGTGTCCAGCTTCAGGATCACAGCACAGGGCACAGAAGGGCGGATTTGGAGCCAAGAGGCCATATGTTCATGATTGGCCCGTATCCCGCTCCTCTCGGGAGCTGAGCCTTTCCTCTAATTCCAGTCCTCTTGGGTCTTCCATCCATCAACTCCCACAGTACTCAGTGGATCCCACCACCAGGAATCATTCTCTGTGTGTGAGTGGCTCTGTCAGGTCTCCCCATGTGGTGGAGGGCACAGGACTCAGCCTGCTTTAAGTCCCAGTGAATGCACTGTGGTTGATGTCTTTACTGGGAGAGGATTGTTTTCCAACCCTCTGCCTCCATTTGGCATTGACCCTGGAACAGCTTTGAGCGAGGGCTGAGCATACCTCCTTGAGGGGTGGGGCTGCTGGGTGCCAGGGTGGCCTCATTGGAGTGTCTGGCTGGACCCGGGCTCTGGTCACACTGTGCCTTAGGACTAATGGACTGTGGATACCTTTCTGGCCACCTCATATTTTGCTGATTGTGATCTCTCCTTGGCTGGATTGGAATTGGGAGACAATTGTTTGAGCTGCAAAAAGTCATTTGTTCATAACAGCCTGGACCCTTGTATTGTGAGGATATGCACAGTTCCCTATTTGACCGTATTAACCTTCTTCCTTACTTCCTTAGAACTAGGGCTTGAGCATGGTCTTGGCCAGCCTGCTGACCTTCTGTCATCTGATACTGGCCAGCAAGGTCCCCAGTTCCAAATTCCTAAGAGAATCTGTCCCATCTCCCACAATCCTTTGGTTCCTCTAGGGTGTGCTCTTCCTAGAATTAATTCTCCTCTCCCTACAACCTCCTGTCTGGGAGAAAAGACTCCATGGCTCAGCTTGGGTCAGGTATCCACGTCAAGGCTGGAGGACTATGCCCGGGGGAACAGAGTCATGAACACAGGGTTCCCTGAGAGTGCACGGCGGTGGGGGGCAGAGGTGTCTGCGGAGCCAGCAGTGGGCTGGCCCTCAGGGCCCAAGGACATCCTGCTCTGCCGTGGTGGGAGGGGCAGGTAGGCATCCTGGCTGCTGGGATGGGGAAGTTCAGGGCTGTAGTGTTCTCTTCTTAACTTCTAAAGTAACAGTTTTCTGTATGGTTCACTTGGCAACGAATTATATGGGATTTTTTAACATTTCTTCCAGGTTTGTTGCCTCCAATAAGCACTTACTTATGTCAGCATCTTTCACAGCACTTAAGAGAGGGTGAGTCCATCATAGATGTCCACCCTCTCTGGGTTGACTTCATGGGTGGAAGAGGTACTGGGTTCCCAAGGGGCACTGGACTCCCTTGTCTTCTGTGTGTGCTCATAGCCCCATCCCATCCTACCTCATAGGCTGTAGCTCCAGGACGGCAGGATGCTCAGAACTCCAAGACCCTCAGTTGAGCTGGGGTGATGACTGGGGATGCAGAGCTTGGAAGCAGATGGGGGCCAGATGCCCTGTCCTAGACAGCCTTCACAGCTTCTTGCTCCATGTGCCAGGAAGCTTTTTGCTCCAATTAATGAGACCACTTCAAAAGTTTGCTGAATTGAAAGTGCCATAGGTTTGGAGTGTTTTCTAGACCCTTTAAAAAATATTTGTTGTTTCCTTAAACCATCTGAGTTTCTTATCTTTAAAGATAACAATACCTGCCTTCCTGAGCTGCTGTAAGAATTAAAAAAAATAACGTATATGACCATGTTTTAGAAATTGCAGGCCTCTAAACAGATAGTATTATTAGTATTTCTGAGGGTTGGGTGGCAAATGCATTAACTTGATGTACCCTTGAATGAATGATTAATAGATTGGATTAAAAGCCTTGAACAAACACTCATTTCTGAGGGAGTGGGACGCAGAGCAGGTAAATTTGATGGAAAGAAGGAGATCAGAAGCATCCAGACTGCTCTGGGTACTGAGACTGAAGAACATTGACAGAAAAGGTGAATGAAGGGGTGTGTGTGTGTCTGTCTGTGCGTGCGTACTGGGGATAAATCAGGGTTTTCAAGCAGAGGGGGCAGGGGATCAATGTCCACTGGACAGGGTGCACTCATACCTCTCTGATCCTGGCCTGTTTCCCTGCAGGTGCACCTCCGTTCTGCCAGGCGTCTCTGTGAGCTCTGCTGTGCCAACCGGGGCACCTTCATCAAGGTGGGCCAGCACCTGGCAGCCCTAGACTACCTGTTGCCTCGGGAGTACACGAACACGCTGAAGGTGCTGCACAGCCAGGCCCCGCAGAGCAGCATGCAAGAAGTCCGCCAGGTCATCCGTGAGGACCTGGGCAAAGAGGTACTGCCTCTGCCAGGAGGGCTGGGCCCTGGGACAGTATGCTTCTGAAAAGGCCCTGGCAGAGTTCTTGCTGCCAGGGGCTGGGGACCCACCACTAGTGTGGAACACACTTCATGCAGCTTTCAGTGCTCAGATCAAAGAGGGCAGAAGGAACCTCAGAGTCCCTCAGTATAACATATTAGTTGAACCATATGAAAGAGTTGATATTCTACTGTTTTTGACCTGCAACCTAATATGATTCATATGGTTCAACCTAATAATATCTATCAACTGTTGAGGATTTCCCATGGGACAACTGTGCTGTATTCCATGCATTATCTCACTTAATCCTCACACAAACATATAACCCTATTTTGCAAATGAGGGATGGAGGCTTATGTGCTTAGGTAAAATGTCCAAGGGCACTGTAGTAGGTGATTCCAGCATACTGCTCTATGATCCTGTCAGTAAGATGTCCAAATCATTCATTGCATTGACTTCCGGGACATCTCTAGCAGGAAGTCATTAGCTTCTGCTTGATTACCTCCAGTGAAAAGAAGCTCATTCTCTCATCTGCTGCCCAAGGTGGTCTCTTCTTTTGTTAGTTGTCTTTAATTATAAAAGTGCTTCTTCCTAAGGGCTAAAACCTGCCTCCTCAAACCTCACTTTTCTGATCTTTATTCTGACACTTAGAGCAACAGAGAAAGGGGCAAAGGGCCCTTCTGTTCATAGTCCTGGTCACACTCTTTTGGATTAATGCTAGTACCTGTAGTATGTGTGGAGCCTGAAGTGGGCACAGTGACCTGGACCCTTTCTGACCTATTCTGGGGATAGAGAGGGGCTTGAACAGCTGTCTGCAGGTTGCTGAGCTGTGGGTCAGGTACAGCCCTACAAATTGTGCTATAATTTGTGGGTACTTTAGAGGTCTCTACTAAAAAAAACTTCCTCTCCCCCCCTCACCTATTACTCTCTTTGAAATTCTCCTCTTTCATAGAGAATCCTTTGGGTCTTCTAGAATTTTTCCTGAGCAAAATAATCTGAAAGTCAAGCCTTGACCAGCTAGTACCTTTCTTGAGATTAATTTACAGCCTTTGATGCCTCCCATTTGCCCAAGAATAAAATCCTTAGCAGGCCTTTTCAGGTCCAACCCATCCACTTACAAGTTGCCTATCTCTTTCACGACTATATCTGGATGGAGGATAGTGGTTTTAGAGTTTGGGCTGTGGAGCCAGGGGCATGGACCATGCACAAATTATTTATCCTGCTCCTCACTTTCCTAATCTGCAAAATGGGGCATAGTATCCACCTCATAGGGTTGTTGTGAGGATTAGAAGTGATAATGAATATAAAGTACTTTAGTGCAGTCCCTGACCTGGAGCAAAAGCTCAAAAAATACTAGCTACTACTCTGATCCACTGTGTACCCTTAGCCCTCAGTGCCTGTGCATGATATTCTTTCTGCCTGCAGTGTCTTACCCCATTCTCTCCCTGTCAAGGGAGTCCTTGTGTTTCTAGACCATTCATCCACCTATCCATCCATCTGCCAAATGCCAGGCATAGTGCTGGGTATCCAGGCCCAACCCCAGCTCTCCTGTGAAGTCTTCTGTGACCCTCTGCACAACTTTGCTTCCTCTACTTGTGCATCTTGTGGCTTGGTTAGTTATGTCTAGGTGGTTCCACTGCAAGTACTAAAGTCTTTGGGAATGAAGATCATGATGGTCAGTTTACCCTGTATCTACAGCATCAGAACAATATCAGGTGTATAGTAGGTGCCAGTGTTTGTTTAATGAACCAATGGATGAACGAGTGACAGCTTCCTCAGGCTATTCAGGGTAGAGTGGAGAGGAGGGGCAGAGGCTTCATGAAGACCAGTTGATCCCTTTCTTGATCTGCATGGAGTTGGCCCTGGCTATTTGTCCCTTAATGTAGAGCTGGTATTAGGTGCCAGCATCCAGCCAAAGATCCTTTTGGCCTGGAGGGGGCCTGGATCACACAGGATGGGGAGCATAGAAACCTTTGTGGATTTCTTTTCTGCTGAGGAACATCTCCTCCAAAATGAGGGAGATTGAGCGAAGGTGAATCCCAATTTAGGGCTGGCGTCAGGAGCAGGCTGCAGGCTGGGAGGAGCAAGGTTAGGATGGAGGGACCCCAGGCAGAGGGGACAGGATTGGCATAGCAGAGGCCTGTGTATAGCCTTGCTTCTTGCCAAGACTATTGACTTCCTGCTTCCTATAGCACGAATGTCACCCCCAAATTAAAACTAAATAAATCACTGTAATAACAGTGTGAAGTGCATCATTGCTGGCATGTGGCAGCTCAGTGGGGGCGGCTACAAGGGAGCAAAGCCAGCAGATTAACCCTTGGAGGCCGACTTGTCTGTGGAGAGCTGGAGGAGGGAGGTGAGAGCGGGTCAGTGGCTCTCTCCAAGTCAGAGTACAGCGAGATGAGAAGTTCGGGGTGTTGGCAGTCATGGTGGGCCTACCCAGCTGGCCAAAGGGTATTTGGGATTGGAAGATTTCACCTGCATCTTCAGGGCCTCTTCTGTAGGCTGCCCTGGCCAAGTAGTCCTGAGCGTGGTGGTCTGTGGCTCCTGCCCCACAGGTTGTCTTGAGCCCTCTGAGAAAGAGAGGCTGATGTCAAGGTCATGGTTCTGTGGGGGCGTCCCTCATAGCTGGGACGCTCAGAAACCTATGGTTTCTTACCCCGGCCCCCACAGGCACACAATCAAAGTCTTCCCTCCCTGTTCCTCCTCTTCCCTCCTGGGAAGATGGCATTTGTTCCCCGGTGACACACTTTCTCAGTCTGTGGGTGGAGGGAGGGGAAAGGGGCTGTGCGGGGAGCAGGGTAG